GATTAAAAGCGCACACGACAATAGATGCAACCTCCATCACAAGTTACATTTGATATTTTAATAAGCAATCTTGAGGTAAAGTATATTGCCTTAACAGCAAATGACCGCAAGAAATAATATTACGATAAAAAATGATTACAACCTTCATCAACTAAAATGTAATGGCTATACAACAATGCAATTGAACCTTATGGCGGGACCCTGGGGTCCCATAAGCCCCCCCCCCCCCGACTCTCGCATTAAACTGCGTTGCGACGTCATTTCATGCCTGTTGCAGGCGAACGACACGGCAAATCTATTACTCTCGAGCTCTGCACGATGCGCTCATCAGAGTTTCAAAGTTTTCTTTCTTCTGCGCATTCGTCCTCGCTGCTGAAGCTTGGACGACGCGACAAGAGGAGGATCCGCGCCAGGCGGGTCGCGGGGTTTATGCGCGCGGTGGGACGGAGTCGACAAAAATAAACCAGTTCATTACGTTTTATTTTTATTTTAAAGCTTTCATGACTGCAGGCATTAATATTCCTTTCTAGATTTGAAGCTTTCGTGACTGCAAAGGATCCATACTCTATTCGGTAAAGTCACGTAGGTAAAAAAAATATAAAACAAGTAAAAATCACGGCGTTTCGGCCACAACACAAGCGGCCTTCATCAGGCGAAGGGACCAGACTGAGCTTGGCTGTGTTTCACTCCAGCGCTGTCCTCGAGACAGTCTGGTCCCTTCACCTGATGAAGGCCACTTGTGTTGTGGCCGAAACGTCGTGATTTTTGTTGTTTTATTTTTACCTACGTGACTTTACCGAATAGAACCAAGAATATAGTTCATTACGAATTTTGACTTCCGCTTATTCGGGACCCCGGGGTCCCGCCATAAGGTTTCACATTTTGACGATCAACTTCCCCCAAATCATCTTTGTGTTATTTTAGCAGCATAAATGAGGCATTTGTGCTTGGAAATCCATGCTCATTCATAATAACTTACACAAAGGCGTATGCTGGCACGAGTACGACTGCGCACCACTCTCTAAACAGCGTCACGTGAGCCACGTCAACGCGAGCCGCCCGACGTCGTCTTGTTACTGCGTTCGCTACGATGGGTGTGGAACAGCAACAACAGCAACAACAACAACAACGACGACTTTCAGGAAAGCATCATCCCGCTTGCAATGCGCTGCAGATGTTAACGGTTAAATGTCAACTGGCTTCTACTTCACTGTCCACTGGGGAAATTTTGATTTAAAGCTTTCGCGACTGCAGGGGATTCATATTATTGGTTCTTTCGGTAAAGTCACCACGTAGAAGAGAAACAATAAAATAATAAAAATAAAATAATAATTTCATTGTTATTTTTATTATTTTATTGTTATATAATTTTATTGTTATTTTTATTATTTTATTGTTATTTTTATTATTTTATTGCTATATAATTTTATAAAAAATAATAATTTTATTGTTATTTTTATTATTTTATTGTTTCCCTTCTACGTGGTGACTTTACCGAAAGAACCAAGAATGTCCACTGGGGGTTTATTTGGGCAGGGGGTGGGGGGTGAGGATTATTGTTTGCTGCCCCCCCCCCCACTGCCAGTGACATTGTACAATGGTCATATAGTATTACTACACAAATATCGCCCACTGAGTAAGGCACATACAGCACACGTGCTTGCATAGCATAGTGGCATAACACAATCTGGATTCATTCCGCAAATAATTTATCCTCAACCTTGCGCAAAAAACATGCGTGTGAATGTGTATATATGTATGAATTGTGTTGTGTATATGTGTGTGTGAATGTGTGTGTATGTGTGTATATGTGTGAATGTGTGTATATGTGTGTATGTGTAAATGTGTGTGTGTATATGTGTGAATGTGGCAAGGCAAGGCTGCGTTGGCTGGGTCATGTAGCCCGCATGCCCAGCCACCGCATGCCGAAACAGCTTTTGTTCGGGCCGGATCGAGGGGGCTAAACGGGCGCGGCACGGGCTAGAGAAGAGATGGAGTGATGTGGTACAGGAGGACGTGGAGCTGAGTGGACTTGCCGATGACTGGTACCAGCGGTGTCAAGATCGGCCTCTGTGGAGGAGGCTCGTGAAGGACGCTGCTACTCTGCAGTTGGAGGCAGTCGCCCTCCAACAACAACGGAGGGCGGAGGAGCGACGCTCGCAACAACGAGCAGAGCGCCGGGTGGCTAAAGCACAGCAGGTTGGCATAGTAGGGGGCACAGGTGGTGCATCAGCCAGTCGTCTCAGTCAGTCGACCCGTGGCACCTGGGTCTGCCCCGTGACCTGCCAGCGGGTGTTCGACACTTCACGTGGCCTCAAGGTGCACATAGCCTGGCACAAGCGTCGTGGTGACGTCACCCCCACTTAGTGGAGAATGGCGGTTGTTGTTGTTGAATGTGTGTATGCGTGTGAATGTGTGTATGTGTGTATATGTGTGAGTGTGATTTTGGGGTACCTGACCCTCTGCTCACGATCATTAAGGACCTCCATGATGGTGAGCGGGCCCGGGTAAAGCTATGTGGCCGGGAGTCAGAGCCTTTCCCTGTACACCTTGGGGTGCGACAGGGATGTCCTCTGGCTCCCACATTATTTAACATCTATTTCGACCACGTAGTTCGTGAAGCCTTCAATAGCTGTACCGGGGAAATCTCCATATGGTACAGATATAATGGGAGGCTGATCGATGCCCGGGTGCGGTCAAGGGATGGCTCCCTATTGCTCAACCACGTTATGTATGCTGATGATTTGGTAATAGCTGCTCATTCAGAGGAGGAGTTGGAGACGCTGCTGCTGAGACTGGAGCGTGCCACTAGAGATGGGGCCTTACCATCAGCCCCACCAAAACTAAGAACCTGCCTGGGTATTTTGTACCATCGGACACTCCACCCCCACAACTCCCAATCGGTGATTGGGCAGTTGTGGAGAGAGTGGAGAGTTTCCCATACCTGGGAAGTGTGCTTATGACCGGCACCAGTTTAACAGCAGAGGTCTCACTCCTAATCAGTCGAGCGGCAATATCTTTTCATCGGTTGCGTAACGCCGTGTGGAAGCTACCTGGTCTGTCGCTCCGCACTAAGCTTCAGGTCTTCTCGGCCACGGTCATTCCCTCCCTTCTCTACGCTTGCGAAACGTGGACCCCCTAATGGAACATCTTCGCCGGTTAGAAACATTTAGGCTGGCCTGCCTACGATCCATCCTGGGTTTAACCAGACTGGATTGTGTGAGCTCACAAATCCTTGAAAGATCTGGGCAAGGTCCCATCGGTGAGCTAATCCGGCAGGCAAGGCTGCGATGGCTGGGTCATGTAGCCCGCATGCCGAAACAGCTTTTGTTCGGCCGGATCGAGGGGGCTAAAGGGGCGCGACACGGGCTAGAGAAGAGATGGAGTGATGTGGTACAGAAGGACGTGGAGCTGAGTGGACTTGCCGATGACTGGTACCAGCAGTGTCAAGATCGGCCTCTGTGGAGGAGGCTCGTGAAGGACGCTACTGAGCAGTTGGAGGTAGTCGCCCTCCAACAACAACGGAGGGCGGAGGAGCGACGCTCACAACAACGAGCGGAGCGCCGGGTGGCTAGAGCACAGCAGGTTGGCACAGTAGGGGGCACAGGTGGTGCATCAGCCAGTCATCTCAGTCAGTCGACCCGTGGCACCTGGGTCTGCCCCGTGACCTCCTGCCAGCGGGCGTTCGACACTCCACGTGGCCTCAAGGTGCACATGTCCTGGCACAAGCGTCGTGGTGACGTCACCGCCACTTAGTGGCGAATGGCGGGTTCGATTCCCGCTCACGGTCAACACCAGTGGCGATTATGTGAACCGGTCCTGGGCCTCCCCTAGGTCGACTCATCCTCAAATGAGTACCTGGTAAACATCGTCACTGGGGAGACAAAGGCGTGGTGCTGGGCACACACCCCCTCGTGTTCCGTTCCGTCCTTCATAGGTGCTCGCTAACAGCACTTGCCCCAACAGTCTGTTAAGGCTATACGGGGATCTTTGTTATTTGTTTGTGTGCACACGTGACACGCGGTTAGCCGTGTGCTTTACATTGATCAGTGTCTTTGTCTATAAATATCGTTTAGACATTTACCAATGTACGGGGCGATCCATTTACAGACACCCCAATAAAAACAAGAGGGAGACTTACCAAGGTAAAAAAATAACTGAATGCGTGACAGTAGTCGACCATTCCAACACTTTTGAGCGAGTCATCTGGATAACGCTTGGAGCGTTTGTACGTGCAAAGCAAACCTCTGTGCGTTTTTTAAATATATATTCTTTTACCAGCCTACATTAATTTTCTCGCGATGGGTTTTTCTTGTCATTTGCAAGATTTTAATTACATTGTGAGCTGTCGAATGGCAACTGCACACTTCAAGTAATTACAGTGCATTCTGCTGAGCTTTTCGTTGCACTGTACTCATGTGCTCCCAGCCTTCACCAACATGCACTGACCAGCGTGGAGAAGTATGGTCAAATAACCACAAAAAACCCGCACTGTGTGGCAAGGCCCTCATCCAGCAGTGGACTGAAAAAGGGCCACCACGTGATTATGATTATATTATGCCGTCCTTGAAAAACATCCTTGGCGTCTTGCGGTTGCTCTGGAAAACTAAAAACCTGAACCCCACTGTGGCCGCAGGGCTGCAACATCATAGGCAGGATTGATGGGGCACACGCCATGTGATCTACGTCATCACAATATGAACACCTAACTTGTGCATAGTTGGAACAATAATTGCGACCCGCCATAGTGAATAGATGCCCACACAATTACAATTCAACCTACCCTCAAAGCTCAGGAGATAATCAAATTAACCAGAATCTCACATACCCCAGCAGAGTTTTGGTGCCTTGTGTTTAACATTCAGACAAGGAGGCGGATGCCAGAAAAATCAGCCCTTGCTGAACTCTAAGGGTTGTGCATCCGTAAATAAATGCCTTTACCGCTATGAAGAGTTTACATTTTTTTGAATGCGTTAAAGGAAGACGTGACCTATCAAACATTGTGTGATTTTTTTTTTATTAATTAAAACTACGTTTATCAGTGGCAAGCAGCACTTTATCAATAAACATTGTGTGATTTTTTTTATTAATTAAACTACGTTTATCAGTGACAAGCAGCACTTTACAAGTTCTTGTGTAAAATCCTTTCAGGTCACCTTGGGGCCCTCACCCAACTGGCTCCTTGAACCTTCCCGCTGTGCGTCATGATGCAGCTGTAGCGTCACCATAGTATGCCGTGTCACATGCCCATGACATCCAGTTCCTTCTTCTCACGAGTGAAGCTTTAAACTCGTGACACGGCCTCGGTGCGGTGCATCTACAAAATAATAAATTAAACTTTTCTTTGCGTCTTCCTTCAAGCTCATTCCAGTTATTTATTCACAAGGGGTAGATAAAATCGCGCTAATAAACCACAGCAGACCCTCCTCGTCATCTGCTCCAGGCTCATTTATCAGATGAGTTGTACAAAGCTAAGCCTCGTTTACTCACCGGGGCGAGGGGGCGAGGGTCTGTGCCCACGGTCGTCATTGAGTCATACTCCTAAGGTATGCTGCGCACAAAGTAATGACGACGATCACTGTTTCAAACAATGCTCGGCTCCAATGTGTGCCCGTGTTCACCAAACGGACACTGGACGTGGGGAGCGAGGGGGAAGCGTGTCGATTACGGAAGCGCCGCTTGGTCCTGGAAATTAGCGAGCCGTACCCAGCCAGCTCACCCCAGCCAGCTCACCCCGAGACCGCACCGGCCCTCCCCGTCGCCCGCGATTAGAGGGCGTAGGCGAGGTCCTGCCCATTGGCGCTCCGCATGTGCACGTCGCCGAGCTCCGGAAGCGCGGCCTGCAGCCGCTCGACGGCCTCCAGCGTGATTCGGCCGCACCGCGACACGTCCAGCGAGCGAAGCCATGGGCAGCTCCCGGCCAGGGCGTCCAGGACGCTGCGGGGAAGAGGGGGGGGGAGGGGCACCCGCGCCGGCGCGATTCGTCGCACGACTCGCCGCACGACTCGCTCATTGCTACCGCGGTGCGACGGTTCAGCACGGCGGGCTGGATACAACCTCTGAGCGGCTCCGGTAAGATTTGGATGAAGCGAAACGTACTAGATTGTCGACTGCTTGCAGCTGCTCAGTACAATGTCAGAGTCTGCAATACGAACGATGTAAGCCACGTTTCATAGTTGGAGACAAAGTCTGGGAAATGTAAAATTTAAAGGCATGAAACCTTGGCCTGATGTTCCATATACAGTATTACGATTAAAAAAAAAACCTTTACAGTTATTGAAAATTTTACTGTATAGGCAGCATTCTGGACGAGACACCCAGCACACAGTTCAAGGCTATGAGGCGAGCTGTGGAAGCAGTACAGAAAGTAGGCTGTTGTTGACTCATTTGCGTGGAGGTTTCAAAGTTAGCCTTTCCTTTGACTTGGTTTTAAGAGGTATTCTCCTTTCACCCCACATGGAAACACTCAATTAGTTAAATTTCTCAAGTCAGATCCTCTTATAGAATTGTCTTGAGACTCGCAGACACTTTAATTCACTAACAATGGCATGATTACAAGCTTCGGTAATGCCACAGTGGATCTGGCCGTGTGGTGCTACAGAAAAGCGCTCAACTCGGAATCGGGAAGATGCCAATTCAAATCTCGTTTGGGGGTTGACCGCTAATCATTTAACCACGGATAAAATAGGTACCACTTTGTGGGAAGTCAGGGGCTAGTCCAGCGGTCGGCAACCAAAACAACAAGAGCCATTTTTGTTTCAAATTCAATATTTCAAGAGCCGCGATGCATGTGAATATGAGATAGTCCATAATAAATAACGTCACAAAACAGTCCTTAAGGCGGCAGTCTTAGCAGGTCGCCGACCCCCGGACTCGCCACCACAAACCGGATTGTAGCGTCGCTCGGGCGCGCAGTGGCAAAGAAATACGAGCCGGCCCGGAGGCACGGGTTAACCCCCGGAGGCACGGGTTAACCCCCGGAGGCACGGGTTAACCCCCGGAGGCACGGGTTAACCCCCGGAGGCACGGGTTAACCCCCGGAGGCACGGGTTAACCCCCGGAGGCACGGGTTAACCCCCGGAGGCACGGGTTAACCCCCGGAGGCTCGTGTGAACGCGCGGGCGCGGAGTCGCGACGATACCTGTCGGAGACCTGCTCGCAGCGGGACAGGTCGAGGTGGCGCAGCCGGCGAAGCAGCGGGGCTGCCGCGGCCAGGCCCCCGTCGCTGAGGCGGTAGCAGCCGGCGAGCGACAGGCGCTCCAGGGAGGGGCAGCCGCGGCTCAGCGCGAGCAGCGCCGCGTCGGACAGCTCGCACAGGTGGGACACGTGCAGACAGCGCAGCTCCGGGAACCGCAGCACCTGCGCGCCACCCGCCGCCACGCGCGTCACCAGCGCAGCCGCGCCCGTGGGCCCAGACTTGCCGCCGCCACCCCGCCGCCACGCGCGTCACCAGCGCAGCCGCGCCCGTGGGCCCAGACTTGTTTCACTATCTTTTTTTTTTTTTTTTTTTTTTTTTTTTTACACGGTAAGGTCTGCTGAGCTCTTTATCAGAAGCAGCCCAGCTGCCACAAATGACAGCTCAACGAAGTGGCTTGTCACGTATCGCGACTAAATACTCTCAACGCACGTCGGTTCCAAAGGTATGTATGTCGAATCATTTCGCACCGTACGTAGCCAACCGTGCTAATCAGAGGTGCGGGGGAAGTATAACAAGTGTGCAGGGAAAAAACCGGAGCTACCCGGTGAAAAATCCACACGACCACGGGGAAAGAGACATGCTGCAAACTCCAAATATGCAGGTGTCAGGGTCGGGATCGAATCCACGACCTCCTGCATACCAGGCGAGAGAGAGAGTTAACATCTCGCCACCGTGGCAGAATCAAGGTGAAGATCGAGGTTGCCGCCATGGCAAAAGCCGTGGATGCCGCCACACCGCGAAACGCAAATCAACAACGAGTGGAGGCGACACGCTGCGGTCTGTGCAACCTCGGTTTGAAGTTTTATTCACGACATCACTCCCACACATTGCAATTAGGCATGTGAAGAAGGTTCGCCTCCTAATCCGGGAATGTGGTGAATTTTTAAGTCGCTGTTCGGGGTAAAGAATCAAATATTATTTATTGCAGTGTCGTTTAATTTTTTTTTTTCTGCCACGTTTATAATCTTAGCACCGAAAGGTATATTCACACGATTTGCGTATTAAACTATCAATTCTTATTCGCACCATTTGATGCACGTATCACGAGTGCACCGTTCATTTGTGGTGGAATAAATCAAGGAAGCGTGACGTGGCAGTTTTAACACAACACCCATGTGGCGATGACGTGAGGCCACGCGATGATGGAGCACCTGAAGTTAATGTTCAATGTATTTTTTTCCCTCTCATTACCTGAGCTTCACACGTATCAGCCTAGCTACATAACGACAAGAGACACTTGTCAACAAGAGAAATCTGTCTCTTGTTTGGTGGTTATCTGTTTCGCCTTGTCGTAGAAGTGGCCAAACAAGGTCAGGCAACCCGCCTGATGTCCAGCTCGCTTCGTTTGATCAGAAAGTCTTCCCCTCTTTCACAGGAAGCAAAGCTCACGTTGCAACGTGACGTGCTGACCGAGCGACCGGCAATCGCGGACTGCACGAGCTGCTGGAGAGAACCCCGTCACTCCATCCCGTCGCCCGCCGAGTTGACGCCGCCGCCGCCGCCGCCACCACCGTCGTCGCTCGCGGGTTAACGCGTTGGCCGGCGATGACGGTCGCCCCAAATTTGACCCCGGGTCGATCGCAGCCTTCAGTCTGCGGGGCGGCGAGTCGCTCACCTGCGTGAGGCTGGCGTCCGTGACCCGGAAGCAGTTGGCGAGGTCGAGTTCGGCGAGCTGGGTGAGGGCGCTCAGCCGGGGCCCTACCTCGCCCGCCTCCACCTCCGCTGGCGACGGCGGCGCCAACCCTACCGGCCACACGGGCGGCGGGGAGAAGAAGCCGATGTTGCCAAACGAGCGGCTGAACTTGGGCCCGGACGAACTCTGTCAACGGTCAAGCGCACAGGGCGGGGCTCATCAGCCGACGGTGACCGGTGCCAGTGCTGACCGAGGACAAACAAGAGGCAAAGATCCCCCCGTACAGCCTGCATGGGCTGTTGGGGCAAGTGGTTTTAGCAAGCACATATGATGGCCGGCACGGTACACGAGGGTGTGGGTAACCAGCACTGCGCCCGGCTACCTTCGTCTCCCCAGTGGCGATGTTTACACCCCACACCAGGTACTCTCATTTGAGGCAGAGTCAACCCAGGGGAGACCCAGAACCGGTTCAGATAATCGTCACTGGTGGCCGTGAGCGGGAATCGAACTCGGGTCGCCAGGTTCAAAGCGCAGTGCCCGAACCAATGCACTACCGCTCCCCACACCTCGCTAGATAGAGGGGCTGATACGGATGGTACAAAGGCCTTTAGAGTGTCTAGATTGATCTAGACGGCAATAAGTGACCTTAATGAAGCTGCATTGTGTTGGTACTTGCTTCCCGTGAAGTGTGACGTGAATTTTAAGAAAAAGTTTTGTTTCGCACCTCGAGCCACTCGTACGCAGTGCACGTAGCGCACGCTGATCACCACTAAACCACTTTTTGAGAAGCTATGATAAGCTAAAAGAGGTTGTCCTATAGACAGTGATCTCCTACAGTGATAGGAATATTACTCATGTAATACAGTGGCTTGGGTCAACCAACAGATGAGCTTCGCCCAACACTCGTCCAAACAGGAAAGACACCACCTTTGGACCAATTCACGTGGTGCAGAATGGCACTTTTCATTTGATTTGACAAAAACAAGCGGACGTATCTATTATGGAAGTGCACTTCACCCATTTCACTGATTTGCGAATGTGGCACTTTGACCTTTGACATAAACAGCAGCAGCAGTGGATATGCATGTATGTTGAACTTCTTTCGCACCGTAAGTAGCCAACCGTGCTAAAGGGACGTGCGGGGTGGGTGGGAACAACAACCTAAACACAAAAAAAGCTGTTCTTAAAGAAATGAGTTTTCAATCTCGAGTGCCAGTCCACAGTGCGAGATGGCTACCGTGTGGCTGCTGGGCAACAACGGCTGTAAGCAGGGCCTCTCTATGCCCAGCAGGCCCCAGTCGGTGAGCTCACGGCACCAGGCAAGACGCAGCACCCGCAGGGTGGCCAGGCTCGTGCTGATGGCGCGCACGCTGGCGTCCGTGACGGCCACGCACGACGAGAGGTCCAGCTCCCGCAGAGACGCACCCAGCGCAACCGCCAGTGACACCACGCTCGAGGCCTGCGTGCAGGACACACGGTGGCACGTGAGATGCACGCAGGACACAACAGTGGCACGTGAGATACACACGGGAATGGACATGGGACGCACAGGATACAAGGCACAAACCACGCAGATGTTTGCACTAAACTCCACTCTCACACTCAAAGCTGTTTTGAAGTTTTTGAAATTAGATTTCAATTTTTCAACATTTGCAATCCTACGATATGTACACGTGCACAAAAATGCATCTGAAAACATTGTAAATGAAGACAGACTTGGATGACTTAAACAATTTTTAGTGCTGAGTGAATGCTATGATGGAGTAGAAATAACTTACTGTACTTGTGAGAATCAAGACACTTGGACAGGTGAATATGGTCAATCAGGCAGGGGAAAACAGGAAAGCCTTAATCTGGGAATTAGAGAGCAGGATGGGGTGAGGCAGATCGACAGCTATAATGAGATTCAGAACGTAGAGACAGCAGCAGACGGGGACCAACCTGCCATGACAGTGGAGGGAGACCGTGTGATTTGACAGGGGACATGGTTGCTGGAGCAGAGGGCATAAAGGGGGACAACTAGATACAGCAAAGCCTTTACCACTCAAAATGGATTTTAAGGTCGCATCTCTGTAGCACGGTTGGCTACGTACGGCCCAGAATAAGTTCAACACGCATACATACATACGAAGAAGAAGAAGACGAAGAAGACGAAGAAGACGAAGAAGACGAAGAAGATGACGAAGAAGAAGAAGAAGACAAAGAAGAAGAAGAAGACGAAGAAGAAGAAAAGAAGAAGAAGAAGACGAAGAAGAAGAAAAGAAGAAGAAGAAGACGAAGAAGAAGAAAAGAAGAAGAAGAAGACGAAGAAGAAGAAAAGAAGAAGAAGAAGAAGAAGAAGAAGAAGAAGAAGAAGAAGAAGAAGAAGAAGAAGAAGAAGAAGAAGAAGAAGAAGAAGACGAAGAAGAAGACGAAGAAGAAGAAAAGAAGAAGAAGAAGAAGAAGACGAAGAAGATGAAGAAGAAGAAGAAAAGAAGAAGAAGAAGAAGAAGAAGAAGAAGAAGAAGACGAAGAAGAAGAAGAAGAAGAAGAGGACAACGTGAACTGTGTCGTACTGCGATATTGCAGTAGCGCAGGCTCAGCTCCTGCAGTGGCGCGAGCGCCGTTCCTTGGCCTCCTTCAGCCTCTGCCCTTAGCTGAGGCCTTTCCCCCGCCATCACGCTCGCTCCGTCCCGATTGCAGCTGCCTTTGTCCCACAGGTCCTTGCCCGTCAGCTGGTGGCACTCCGGCACGGAGAGGGCTGTGAGGCGAGGCAGGCAGGCCAGGCCGGAGAGGCCCGCGTCTGTCAGGTGGCGTAGGTGGCCCATCCCGAGACGACGGAGGCCAGGAAGGCCCAGCGAGACGGCCAGGGCCGCTTTATCCGTGAGCAGCGTGCACCCGCTCACGTCCAGCACCTCGAGGAACGGCTGCGCAGTTACAATGGCCTGCAGAGACACGCATGTGCACCGAGAAACTGAGTTACTACCTGTCCTGGTGTTTTGCCAGGATTAGCCTCTTCTCGAGGTGACGTGCCTCAATGAAGGCTAATTGAGTAATTGGTGTAAAATAAATTGTACGAGGTATGCTCGTACTCATTTTATGGAACTTGGAGAAGGGTGATGGCACAGGTCAAACCCTGACCAGCTTTTGAAATTGCATCGTTCCAACTGCGAGCCATACTCTTAAAATGGTGAAGCTAAGATTTTGAAGGCCCAGGCTTCAGGCTATGACGAAGGTAGGAATTTAGACAGGGAGCCCTATTTCTTAATTTTCACGAGGGGCCATGCAAACCGCGCTACGCCATTGGTTGGCCAGGAAATTAAATTCGCATGACTGTAATGCAGCAGTTGTGCTCAAGCCATCATTGAGAGGTTTGCCCATCGGATACAACAACGACAGCAGCAGCAGCGCCGATTTTGCTGTTGTTGTTGTTGCTGCTGCACCGGTCACAACTGTGGCCATGCCTGCCTCTCTCGTGCCGGCCACGAACCAATCCAGGCACCAGCGCTGACCCCCACCGCCACGCCCTCAGCAACGCCACTGTCGTTTACGGCATGCTACCAGGAAGATAAGCGTGACGCTGGCTTCTTGGGAAGGGCTTGGGCTCGTAGGAAATGGCGAACCTGCACCGCGGCGTCCGAGAGATCCTTGCAGTCACGCAGGAGGAAGGAGGTGAGGTGCAGCCCAGGGACGCTGACGATGGCGCAAGCAGTCTGCATCGTCAGCCCCAGGCCACTCAGGTCCAGGCCGGTGAGGGTGTCTGCGTGCTGCTGCAGGAACGACAGCAGGTTCCGCAGCAACAGCATGGCAGTAGAGTCTTGCGGCCTGCCACTTGGATCAGCGTCCTTCCTTCCTGCAATGCAGTAAGAGTGCTGTGATGTCATCGCTCACGATGCAATAAAAGGTGCAGCCCTGCATTACTTGCTCATGCCACTGCTGGCAGAAGGGCCTTCACGAGCGGAAGCTCCAGAGAGCCCCTCTGGAGTGTATTCGGCCTACTCTTCCATGCTAGCCAGACTTCGCGGAAGATGTGGGAAGACCCACACTTTACTCCACCACACACAACCTGCCGATTGACTAATTGTGGTGTGTCCATTTATACTTCTGGGTCCACAGAGGCTGGAGGATTAATAAACTTGCATTGTTTCAAATGGTGCTCCGGGTAATTGATCGAACCGGTGTGCAAATCAGAACATCGCGAAAGCATCCTGATATGATACGATATGTTCTCTGAAGAAGCTCCCAGAACGTGGAGTGAGACATTGGACCTCATTGCGCAGAACAAAGCAGTACAACCCAAAAAACGCACCGGAGAGCTCCATGACCGTTTAGGTTTGTAAGCACAAAAACGGTGCCCATTTTCTCCGCAGTTGGGTCATTCTTCTCATGGCACCTCTCACCATTGTGGCTGCTGTAGGGGTAGAAATCGAAGGTCATGTGGCACCCGGCGAGCGACAGGTGGCTCAGGTGCGGCGTGAGCGACACCAGGCGGTTGAACGTGCTGTCCGAGAGGTAGCGGAGCCCGGCGAGCGACAGCCGCTGCAGGTTCCGTAGACCCGGCCGGGCGAGCTCGCACTCCTCGGGGCGGCCCAACAGCATGCCCGGCATGAAGAGGCCATCGCAGCCCGTGAGGTCGAGGGAAAGCAGCCGCGGGCAGTGCTGCAGCACGGCCGGCAAGATCGCCTCCTGCAGCGCCGCTCCACGCAGCGCCAGCTGCTCCAGCGAAGGGCCCAGGCGACGGGCGGCGAGCTCGAGTGCCTGTTGGGTGGCGGGATTGCTTGGCGTGATATTCGAGGTTTAGCTCCACTTGCTGAGAGCTTCTTCTGAAACTGGCCATATGTACCGGCGTCACGGTCCAAACTTGCCAAATGTGCGCTCCGAGTCTCCGAGGTATTCGGGAGGGAATGTGGGACTCACTACTTCCACATTTCGCCCCAAAGTGCATTTTAACTGATTGTCTTTTAATTTGTTATTTCAATGTTTTGATACCGCCTTGAGTAGGGGTGATATTTCATTTCAAATAAAACCTTAAACCTTTAAAATGTAATAAGCTCCCCCAACAAATTACTCAACCTGGGGCCACGTAGCCATTGTCGCCCCCTACTACGAAACCACTGCAGACTTAAGCCTGTGAAACATACCGCCTTCACGTTAGCTTCGGGGCGATGACAATGGCGTGACTACAAATGTACCCAAGACGGTGAGAGCCAGCAGCCGTGGCGGGCGGCGTCACCTGGCGGGCCGCGTGCGATCCGTCCGTGCAGGTGAGCACCGCGCTTACGCTGGCGCGCGACGGCATGCCGCTCGCGCTCCACGCGTCGGCCCAGCCCAGCTCGCCACCGCACCCCACCGCCAGGTTGTACACCACATCCTTCTGGGGTAGAAGGGTGCGACGGGGAAGGAAACGGTTAATTAATCGGGTAAAATGTGTTCTCGTGCTCCATTGCTTCGTGTGTACAGTAATTTGTAATCAAAGAAATGTAAACAAAAAAAATGTGGTTAATGGTCGTGATGACATCTCATCCGACAACCGTAGATGACATCCCTGCCCATATGCAAAACAAATATTCATGATATTGGCCTAATATCCCAGGTTAGAGCCATCCTGATCAAAAATCTCTGTACAGCTTTCCTAAATAGCACATTATACTCAGTGTAAATGTGTATCTCTGTTAATGCAACTTTTGCAATTGCTGGGGGTTTGAACGATATATTGTACACAGACATAAGTAAATGTACAAGCAATTTAAAAAATCCAATGCTGGAAAAGTGTTTCTCCACACTACGCAGGTCGTGGGGGTTATTTGGCCAAACATCATCATTCTGGGCAGTGAGATATGGTGAAGGCGGTGTGCATAGAGCATAGAATGGCAATAATACAAGTGATTTTGCTGAAATGGTATCTGCTCCCGATCACAAAGCCTGGATAGCCAATCAAAATCCACTCTCAGTGCTGCTCAGCTCGTGCTCCATTGCTCGGGCGCATTCTGTGTGATTGGTCATCGGCGTGGGGCAGATCGTTACATGTCTAGAAAAGAGGGTAATTGTACAACAACAAACTGAGTTTTTGATTTAAAGCTTTCGTGACAGCAGGGATTCATTTTCTTGGTTCTTTCGGTAAAGTCACATAGAAGGGAAACAATAAAATAATAAAAATATAAAAAAATAAAATTCTCACGATGTTTCGACTGCAACACAAGCAATCATCATCAGGTGTGAAAACCACAGCAAGAAAATTTGAAAAAAGTGGCGTTTTTTTAACGTTAGCACCACGGAGAGCGATTTGGCAGTTATTCAAATGGACGAGTCCATCTATGTTCGGAAAAGAGGAGGGGGGAGACGAAAATAATGGATGCGGTCTGAAAGCCACCGTAAGCGTGAACAATGAATTAAGACCCGAAATGGTTTATCAAATCTTTCCAATGATTGCTAAGCCAGAATCCATCTTCTCGGTTGAAATTGTCTCTGTGCTTGTGTATGTGGATAGCCTCATGAACGAATCTCTCATGGTAGCCAGATGGCTTGCAGAGAACCTCTGTCTTGGAGAAGTCAATGTCATGTGAGCCTACTGAATTATAACAGTGATCTGCCACGGCCGAGGTGTTGGTCCTACCGTGTTTTAGGTCTGCTGTGTGTTCACGGATGCGGTCCGAGACATGTCGTTTGTTTTCTCCAATGTAACTACTACCACAGAGACAACTTAGTTTGTAGACGCCAGGGTACTGTATGTCCGGAATCACATCTTTTACAGACGGAACCAGATCACGGATTTTATGTAATTTGTTGAATCAGATGTCCTAATAAAAAAGAGACCTGATGGTTCAATGAGCCACTCTGTCTACAGGAAAGCTACCCATACAGATGCTTACCTGTAACCGGATTCCCACCACCATCCATCCCAGAAGAATCCCCTCATCAAGACTCTGCACCATAGAGCCCAATGCATATCCGACCAGGAATACATAGCCAGTGAACTCAAGCACGTACACCAAGCTCTTAAGGCTAATGGTTACTCCGACTACACAATCCGCAAAGCTATCACTCCAACCATGAAGAAGGACCCTCTTGAGGAGCCATTCAAAACCATCACTTTACCCTACATTGCAGGGATCACAAAAAAGATCTCCAAAATCTTGAATAAACACAAGATCCAGGTCCGATTCAACACATTACATAAAATCAGTGATCTGGTTCCGTCTGTAAAATATGTGATTCCGAACATACAGTACACTGGCGTCTACAAACTAAGTTGCCTCTGTGGTAGTAGTTACATTGGAGAAACCAAACGCCATGTCTCGGATCGCATCCATGAACACAAAGCAGACCTAAAACACGGTAGGACCAACACCTCGGCCGTGGCAGATCACTGTTATAATTCAGTAGGCTCACATGACATTGACTTCTCCAAGACAGAGGTTCTCTGCAAGCCATCTGGCTACCATGAGAGATTCATTCATGAGGCTATCCACATATACAAACACAGAGACAATTTCAACCAAGAAGATGGATTCTGGTTTAGCAATCATTGGAAGGATTTGATAAACCATTTCGGGTCTTAAATGATTGTTCACGCTTACAGTGGCTTTCAGACCGCATCCATTATTTTCGTCTCCCCCCTCCTCTTTTCCGAACATAGATGGACTCGTCCATCTGAATAACTGCCAAATCGCTCTCCGTGGTGCTAACGTAAAAAAAACGCCACTTTTTTCAAAATTTTCTTGCTGTGGTTTTCACACCTGATGATGATTGCTTGTGTTGCAGTCGAAACGTTGTGAGAATTTTATTGTTTTATATTTTTATTATTGTATTGTTTCCCTTCTATGTGACTTTACCGAAATAACCAAAGAAAAACAAACTGAGTGTTTACCCATCAGTGTGGGCCCTAGCGGTTCAGAGCGAGATGGTACCTGTAGCGTGTGGTCCAAGGAGGACTGGTACCAAGCCTTGTTAACCAGCGATGCCTCTCGCCTCTCCGCCACTGACAGAAGACTCATGATCCGAGTTATCACCTGTGAGAGATGTGCATCATGCAATTCAGCAATGTACATTATGGTGGCAGGAACTGAATTGTACCGAGATCTACTTCCGGTATTGTATTGAAATTGATTACAGTAAACTGCGCATTCTTTGGAGACCTAGGTTGTCGGAGAAATACTGAGCGTCAAGGTTTGTGTAAGATACATACTTCATGCATCCAAGCATGTGACCCTAAGGGGAGACTCGTCCTCATACCAAAGTGTGTTTTGTAAACATCACTGTGTACACAACATAGGAATAATATACTACGTAATGGTTTACACCAAGCATGGGCATAAGGGTTCTTGTAAGCAACTTGTGTCGAGACAAGGGTTGCAATGAAGGGTCATTGCCCTAAATTGTAAAATATATTTAAAACGTATATTATGTTTTTTTTAAGACAGTGTTATTGACAAATGTTTTGGGTGTTTTTGCTATTTGTGGTTGAGCACCACTGCCAACGCAGTATACAACGCAGTATCACTAACTAATTAGTTTAAGGGTAGAAACAGTTTAATAGAGGTGGCACAGTGGTGCACACACTGTGCTGTGAAGCTGGCAGTGTTGCCACCTTTCTCACAGACCAACCCAAGGCATGTCTCAGTCGGCCTAGGTCTCATACCTGTCAACCCATACGGTTTACCCGTATTCTTGTCCAGGGAAATTGAGTTTTCAGGCCCATATGGAGTACAGTCGTTTCAATACGGGCAATTTTGTTTGTCTATTTGTTTGAGTTTCTCCCTTGTGATGGGACTTTGTAGGATGAACGTTGAGATTTATAACGGCACGGGGTGATCAATAAGGTCTGAATTGGTCTGAAATAAGGTAGGGTGCTGATCAGGGCTTGACAGGGATGAGGTCTATCACAACTGTCTAGTACAGTATATTGTAAAAAAATAATTGCAAGCCACTACCACCACATCTCAGTCGAAATGAATCCCTCCCACCCAAATATAGATGCCAATTCATAATAGAAGGGGGTTTTTAGGGTTAGATCACATAAATATATAAATGTGTCGTTAAAACCCACCACCACCCGACACAGCAAAGGGTTGTCACGTGGTGTGACATTCAAATGATGTAGCTTGGCTCTCCAACACACCGGTGTGCTGTACTAGTGACGAATTGCCATGTTCTGTTTACGTGACAACCTTTACTAGTTGGCTGTGTCGGGTGGTGGCGGGTTTTAACGACACATTTATATATTTACACGATCTAACCCAAAAAAAAACAACCTCTATTATGGATGATATTGGTCGCGAAAGTCTACTTGTACTGTATATAGATGCCAATTCCCAAACAATCTGGATCAAACCTGGACAGGTGCCAACCTTAGAACCCCATCATCTGAGTTTGATTCCTGGCCATGGCTAACACCAGTGACAAATGACATCTGAACCATTTCTGGACCCCCTGCTTCACCAACTCGCACTGATCAGCGTGAGATATTGTCAAACAACGGCCACAACCGACATGGCATGAAGGAGGCCTTCATGCAGCGGAAAGAGTTTCGAGGCGGTGGAAATTTCGCAAGTGTGCACATCCTAGCACAGCAGCGGCTTTTGGCTAGCCATCGAAGGCCGGTCGGTCACTGCATCGCGTGCTTTTGGATGAGTTTCTGCGGCCGTCTGGAATGCTCTTCCTTCCGATGTTAGGAAGCCACCGGAGCTGTCCACTTTTAAATCTCGACTGAAAACTAATTTCTTTGATAACAGCTTTTTGTGTTTAGTTTGTTGCCCTTCCCTCGCACATCCGATTTGCACGGTTGTCTACGTACGGTGCGAAAGAAGTTCAACATACATACACATACATCACGCCCAGCGGTCTTTCAATCAGTCACTGCCCCTCCCCCCCCCAAACGTCAGCAGGGCAATAAAATCTTTCCTGTTTGCACCCGTCACGTGTAGGAAGGCCACTTGTTCATACCCCAGTGATTCTTACTGGGCACCTTTTACTCCTTCACCTGATGGCTGGTGGAACCAGAGCTGTTGGCGAGTAGGGGCAGCGGTTTAGGATCAATGTCCATTTCGGGGAACTATATGTGTTGCAATGTCACCGCGCTTGTCAGTTCGGGTTGGTAAGTAGACCTGTCAAAAAGGTGATAACTACTTAGAGTGAAAATGCGATTAGGATTCACTGTAGCAACCTTTATAATATTGGGCAAAAACATTAAATATACAGTACTTTACGAAAGAAGTCCTGTCGAAATCAGACAGTCAAATGCAAAAGGAAGTGTGACACCATTAACTACAATGACTGGTTCTCTTAGACATCTTAAGTATTTTGCCGCAGTTTGTCGCTTAACAGTCCTGTACAGTCACGACCGGAGAAGACTGGGTCGTAAAAAACATGAAAAGTCCCTTTGAAGTCAAAATACACCTCTAAAGATAACGAACAACGCCTCTACTAGTTTCCAAAGGTTGCATTATCCCCTTATGAAAACCCTCAAATGTTCAAGACCTTCACGTGTAATCTGCTAACACGTGCACACTTTTAATTAACAATTCGATGCAAAATGTTTTCGCTGTATTGTATGAGCGAATGTTGTACTGTACACATTTTTGCAAAAGCTGATAACATCACATGCTAGTTTCACTGTTAGTGTTATTTTATGGGCTATTTAATCCAAAATACAACCGACGTTTTGAGCAATGACCCGATTTCCATCACAATTCATCTGGTCGTTTGGCCTGGATGTGAGAGATGAAGAGCTCAGCAGAGGAAGGGCTTTAAATCACCGCTCAACAAACATTAAATGCCGTCCAACTCTCTTGTGAAGACTGAGCTCGCGATAGACATTCCACATTCCTATGGCAAGGAAAGGTGTCTCCCGAGGACAACTGCTGACTGATAACTTACCTCCACCGAGAACAGTCTACCGCGCAGTCTCGTCAGGTTCCACTATTACGATTTGCTTTTGACGTAACTTGTCTTTTTCAGTTTTTATACAATAACCCAGAAACGTAATAGTTAACGCTGCCCAATGGGACGTACACAATTGGCTAACGTTTCAGGAAAAGCCCCTTCTTCAGGGTGGAGAACGAGCAGAGAGAATTGGTGTGACTATGGTACAGGAGTCGGGCCCTGAGCCACATTTGCTGCAGTGCCAGTGGGAGAAAAACCAACAGAGGAAGATTTGAAGGTGACATCAGCCAGTTTTAAATTGACGTGAATGGTCTATCCATTGGCAACCATTAGCAAAAGAACAGAAAAAAAATACATAGACATTCCCACATCGGTTAAGACTCATAACATGTAGAAAATCCTGACGAGATAGATTGCATAAATAATGTCTGGTGCAGCAAAGTTAATAATACTTTACCTCGACGGGCAGATCAGGGCTTGACATCTCCAGGTGAAGACGCTGCGCCAGGTACGGAATCTCTCTATGTCACGCTCATTCAGTCACTCACCACTCATTCATCCAACACAACCCTCCCACTCCGCTCCTTCAACCCCAAACACTTACTCATTCACCCGCCCGCCCGCCCGCCCACCCACCGACTCGCACATTCTTCAACAACAGCAACAACAGCGACACAGCCGGCTACGTCAACACGGGGCTTTGTGCCAGGCTCGGTGCACCCTGAGGCCGTCACGTGAAGTGTGGAGGGGGCTCGCTGCTGTCGCTGCTGCTGCTGCTGGCAGGACGAGGTCCCGGGAAGAGGCACCCCGGGACGGTGTCAACATGACGAGCGTGACCGACACGACTCACTCACTCATCCGCTCACCCGCTCACCCACCCAGTCACTCGCTCACTCACCCACTCACCCAGCCACTCGCTCACTCACCCACTCACTCACTCACCCACTCACCCAGCCACTCGCTCACTCACCCACTCACTCACCCACTCACCCAGCCACTCACCCACTCGCTCGCTCACCTACCCACTCGCTCGCTCACCTACCCACTCACCCACTCGCTCACCTACCCACTCACTCACCCAGCCACTCGCTCACCCAGCCACTCACCCACTCCCTCGCTCACCTACCCACTCACCCAGCCACTCACTCACCCACTCTGAAAGGAGAGGCACCGTGCTGCTGCTGCTGCTTCTGTGTGCACTGCTGCGTGGTTGGGTGGTGGTGGCAGGAGGAGGAGAAGGCAGGAGGAGGAGGAGGGCCTCTCTCTCTCTCTCTCACCCGCCCAGGCGCAGTTCCGCTGCCCGGCCCCTCCTCGGCCGCCATGCTACGTAGGGAGCGGTGAAACCGGCCCCAGTAAACAATACTGCGGTGATTCATATTCTTGGTTCTTTCCGTAAAGTCACGTAGAAGGGAAGCAATAAAATAATAAAAAATATACTTTTATTATTTTACAAATAATGAAAGATATATTTATTATTTCATTTTTATAATTTTAATAACAATAAAATATATATTTTATTATTTTAATAATAGAGTATATTTATTATTTTATTGTTATTATTTTATTGTTTCCCTTCTACGTGGTGACTTTACCGAAAGAACCAAGAATATGAATCCCTGCAGTCACGAAAGCTTTAAATCAAAAGATACTGCGGTGCTTAAGGGGCCGTTCATAAATGACGTCACGCGATTTTGGACGATTTTTGACCCCCCTCCCCCTCGTCACACGGCGTCACAATAAAGTCAGACCCCCCTCAAATATGACGTCACAAAGCTCTGCCCCCCCCCCGCCAAAAAAAAAACATATTTCCATTTTGAAAATAAAACATGCTTCAAATCGCTTTAAACTATTGTCATTGTAGTGCGCATTTAATGTGGCGCTGCACTCTGATGTTGTAGGAGAAAACATTTATTAAAAAGGAGGCGTTGGAAAGCTTAAATTTAGCATAAAATTCACTTGAAAATATTGAACGTCTAACTAAAACTGCAGATGTTCAGAATATTAGAATTATAACTATAAAAAAATACTTGAAACTTCGTAGTAGAACGAAGCAAAATGGAGAGTACAATTATAACAATCACATTCATTTCTCAGAATGAAAAGCCCTGGTAGAATCATTAGAATCAAAATGTTCAATAACAATCATTCAAAAAATGTACAAAATGTATGCTTCTCCATTCCCCCATGGAGAAGCAAAATGCTACTTCATGGAATAAATAAAAGGTGACCTGAGTAAATTTAAATAATAAAATAGTTAATCATGAAATTCAATCAAAATTTGTGTTATTATAACAATTCTATTTAATTTTTGATTTAAAGCTTTCGTGACTGCAGAAATTCATATTCTTGGTTCTTTCGGTAAAGTCACGTAGAAGGGAAACAATAAAATAATAAAAATATAAAACAATCATATTCTCACGACGTTTCGACTGCAACACAAGCAATCATCATCAGGTTTTCACACCTGATGATTTTATTGTTTTATATTTTTATTATTTTATTGTTTCCCTTCTACGTGACTTTACCGAAAGAACCAAGAATATAATTCTATTTAATTACTATATTTTTTAAGTTGCGCATGTTGATGTGACGTCACATTTCTCAAACCCCCTCTCACCCCCTCGTCACACATCGTCACAAATGTCTGACCGCCCCCCCCCCCCCTCGGTGCGTGACGTCATTTATGGACGGCCCCTTAAGCTACGTTTAGCTTCACCAGGCGCGGTAATATAGCTCAGCGAAGCTGGCATTAGTAAACTCCACCGTACAAAATGTAACCAGGTAAAGGACCGCTGAGTCGATGCGGCTCCTTTTTCAGAAGCGACCCCGACCACAAATGTGACAAGCTCAACGAAGTGGCTTATCATATAGCAGCCAAATACTATTAAACGCACGTTGATTATGCAAACTCTAAAATATACAGCAGGCGTAAAGGGGGTTGAGGATTGGGATCAAACCCCACGACCTCCTGCATACCAGGCGAGGGAGTTAACATCTCGCCACGTTGGTATGTGATTGGGACCGCTGCATACCTCTCAACCCATACGGTTTAGGGGCCGTTCATAAATGACGTCACGCGATTTTGGACGATTTTTAACCCCCCCCCTCCCTCGTTACACGGCGTCACAAAAAGTCAGACCCCCCCCCTCAAATATGACGTCACAAAGCTCTGCCCCCCCCCCCCAAACCATATTTCCATTTTGAAAATTAATTATGCTTCAAATCGCTTTAAACTATTGTCATTGTAGTGCCTATTTAATGTGGCGCTGCACTCTGATGTTGTAGGAGTGTTGTTATAACAATTCTATATTTTTGGTTCTTTCGGTAAAGTCACGTAGAAGGGAAAAAACCAAGAATATGAATCCCTGCAGTCACGAAAGCTTTAAATCAAAATGTAATTCTATATTTATTTAAGGTTGCGCATTTTGATGTGACGTCACATTTCTCAAACTACCCCCCTCGACACACATCCTCACAATGTCTAAACCCCCCCCCCTAGGTGCGTGACGTCATTTATGGACGGCCCCTTAGCCCCTATTCTTGTTACCGGGAAATCGAGTTTGCAGGTCCATACGGTATGCAGCCGTTTCAATACGGGCAAAACAAAATGTGTTTGTCTCTTTGTTTGTGTTTCTCCCTTGTGATGATGGGACTTTGTAGGATGCACGTTGAGATTTATAAGGACACGGGGGTGACCAATAAGGCCTGAATTGGTCTGTAATAAGGTACGGCACTGATAAGGGGTTGACAGCTTTGGCGTTGGGTCCAACGTTCCATGTCGACTGGGAACTGGACTTGTTATTTGTACAGATATGCATATAAAGGAGGCGCAAAGTGTGCTTATTTATTGTTCCTTATATTATCCACAATGACGCGAATGCTTGGTGTTACGTCTTGTATAATGCTGTGTCAAACTAAGACTCATCTAACACACAGAGTTCCTAACGAATTGGCATGTTCTGTTTACGTGACGAACCTTGCAAAGTGGCTGTGCCGGGTGGTGGGGGGCTTAACCACACATTTATATTTACGCGATCTAACCCAACACAAAATAAGCAATATTTTAATTTTTAAAATAAAAAAACACGCTTTAATGAAATGTACTAGTAATGTAGGAACTCCACGACTCCAGTAAGTGGCCCCCGAACATATAAAAATACTGTTTAAAATTATAGTTTTTTTTTTATTTTCATGATATAATATAGCATTGTTATCAGTATGACATAAGTATACCAAGTTTGCAGTCGATATCACATTGGGAAGTGGGTTAAATTTGAGTTACAAGATTTGAGATACAATAACAAAGTTGATAAAAAGCGTGTCGTAATAATGAGTTAATAAAAAGCGTGTAATAATAATGAGTTAATAAAAAGCGTGTAATAATAATGAGTTAATAAAAAGCGTGTAATAATAATGAGTTAATAAAAACCATGTAATAATAATGAGTTAATAAAAAGCGTGTAGTAATAATGAGTTAATAAAAAGCGTGTAGTAATAATGAGTTAATAAAACGCGTGTAGTAATAATGAGTTAATAAAAAGCGTGTAGTAATAATGAGTTAATAAAAAGCGTGTAGTAATAATGAGTTAATAAAAGGCGTGTAATAATAATGAGTTAATAAAAAAAGAGTGTAATAATAATGAGTTAATAAAAAGCGTGTCGTAATAATAGTGAGTTAATAAAAAGCGTGTCGTAATAATAGTGAGTTAATAAAAAGCGTGTAATAATAATGAGTTAATAAAAAGCGTGTAATAATAATGAGTTAATAAAAAGCGTGTCGTAATAATAGTGAGTTAATAAAAAGCGTGTCGTAATAATAGTGAGTTAATAAAAAGCGTGTAATAATAATGAGTTAATAAAAAGCGTGTAATAATAATGAGTTAATAAAAAGCGTGTAATAATAGTGAGTTAATAAAAAGCGTGTAATAATAGTGAGTTAATAAAAAGCGTGTAATAATAGTGAGTTAATAAAAAGCGTGTAGTAATAATGATTTAATAAAAAGCGTGTAATAATAAAAAGCGTGTAGTAGTAGTATTAATAATAATGAAAAGGCAGGGAAGTGGACAAAGGGAAACTCCCTCTGATCTGGCAACGACCTCCACCGCTGCCCTCGCTGCACATCCGGCCTCGTCCACGTTGTTCTCGTCTCGCCGCGTGAGTTAAAAGCCGCTCGCATCGCTGCGTTCACTCTCTACCCCCCTCTCTATCCCCTTTCTCTATCCCCTCTCTCTAACCCCCCTCTCTATACCCCCTCTCTATCCCCTCTCTCTACCCCCCTTCTCTCTACTCCATCCCCTCTCTCTATCCCCCCCTCTCTACCCCCCTCTATCCCCTCTCTACCCCTCTCTCTACCCCCCTCTATCCCCTCTCTACCCCCTCTCTACCCCCTCTCTCTACCCCCCCTCTCTCTATCCCCCCTCTATCCCCTCTCTCTACCCCCTCTATCACCTCTCTATCCCCTCTCTATCCCCTCTCTCTACCCCCTCTCTTTACCCCCTCTCTACCCCCCCCTCTCTCCCCTCTCTATCCCCCCTCTACCCCATCTCTCCCCTCTCTCTACCGCCTCTCTCTCTACCCGCTCCCCCCGCGGTGTTTGCGCTCGAGATTC